GAAATTGACTCAGTTTATTCACCGCAAACATTATATCTGGCCTTGTATTCACTAAATATTGTAGTGCTCCAACAGCTTTTCTGTATATTGAGGGATTACTAAGAAGATTTCCATCATTAATGGACAAGTTCTTGTTGATCACCATAGGAGTAGGCACGGGAGAACAATTGGCCATGCCAAAGGTTCTGAGTAAATCCAGAATGTACTTCTCTTGTTTTAGATAAAGACCCGATATATCTCTGTGAGCTTCTATGCCAAGAAAATGGTGTAGATTCCCTAAATCTTTTAAGGGAAAAAAGGAGTTAAGCTGCTTAATAAACCTACTCAGCATAGATGGATTACTTCCAGTGACAATAATGTCATCAACATAGACAAGCACAAATACTAAATCTTGTTTCCATTTGAGAAAAAATAGGGAGTTATCACACTGGGAGTGATAGAAGTGCCAACTAAGCAGGGTGGACTTCAGTCTATCAAACCAGGCTCTTGGGGCCTGCTTTAGTCCATATATAGCCTTGTTTAGAAGGCAGATATGATTAGGAAATCTTCTATCGACAAAACCTTCTGGCTGTTTCATGAACACCTTTTCTTGTAAATGGCCATTCAGAAAAGCATTATTTATGTCTAGCTGTCTGATTTGCCATTTAAAACTCACAGCTAGTGTAAGAACAAATCTCAGTGTTGCAGGTTTTAGGACAGGAGAGAATGTCTCATAATAATTAATTCCAGGATTTTGTTGAAAACCTTTAGCTACTAATCTGGCCTTTGGCTTTAAAAATGACCCATCAGGATTAAATTTTGCTTTGAACACCCATTTGCAATCTACAGGTTTGACTCTGCCACTATGAGGAACTAACACCCATGTTTTGTTATTCACTAGAGCATTGAATTCATCTATCATGGCTCTTTTCCATATCTTAGATTCAAATGCTTCAGTAACACAAGTGGGTTCAGTTACTGAAGTTTCAGAAGACTCAGTTAATCCAATGAAAGGAGTATTTGGTTTATAAATTCCAGCTTTGCTCCTAGTAATCATAGGATGATTATTCTGAGCTTCATCAAGGTGTCTTTACTCAATAGGTACACTAACAGTAGGAATAGATTGAATGGAAGTAGGTAAATCAGGAACTAAACCTGTATTTAGTTGTATGTTGCTATGACTTGCATCTTCTTCCATTTCTTCAATTCTGACAGCATGATTAGAGTTGGATTCAGATTCATTAACAGTTGTATCTTTGCTCGTAGGTGATGAAGGAATCAAATTCGAGTCATCTGTAGTAAAGGTCAGGCAGAGCAGAAAGCAAAGGTCTGAAGAAAACACTTGGATGCACTTCTTCAACAGGTACTTGTTGTTTGTTGATAAAACCTGAAGTAAATGGAAAATCATTTTCATTAAATTCAACATGTCTGGATATGTATAACCTGCCCGTAGGACTCAAACATTTAAATCCCTTGTGTGAATTACTGTAGCCAAGAAATACACACTTGGTAGTACGAAATTGGAGCTTGTGCTGATTGTAAGCTCTTAGGCAAGGATAACAAGCTGATCCAAACACCTTAAGGTTAGAATAATCAGGATATTTTGTAAACAACCTCATGTATGGTGAAATTCCGCCTAGAGCACTGCTAGGCAACCGATTAATTAATACAGTAGCTGTCTGGAAAGCCTCCCACCAATAATGAAGAGGCATCTTAGCTTGAGCTAAAAGGGTGAGACCCATTTCTACAATATGTCTGTGCTTTCTTTCAGCTTTACCATTTTGCTGAGAGGTATGTGGACAAGAGTGTCTAAATTGTATACCAGCCTCTTATAATGTCTTAGAGAAGCTCCTATACTCTCCTCCCCAATCACTTTGCACAATTTTAATCTTCTTGTCAAATTGTCTTTCAGCAAATTGTTTGAATTGAATAAACATTTGTAATGCTTCATCTTTAGTTTTAAGTGGAAAGATCCAAGAATATCTGCTGTAGTCATCTAAAAACAGCACATAGTATCGAAATCCATTCAAGGAAGGCAAGGGAGAAGGTCCCCATAGGTCTGTGTGAATTAACTGTAAAGGTTGAGAAGTCTTAGAAGTGGAAGCTTTGAAGGGTAGGGAGTGAGATTTACCATACTTGCAAGATTCACAAAACATAGGTTCAGTTTTCTCATTAACCTTCAAATTACAATCTCTAATAATTTGATTCAAAATCCTATCATTAGGATGCCCTAGTCTATAATGCCAAAGCTTCCTAGAGTCACAAGTATTATTTTTGTCAACTAAGACTTCTTCTCCTTCAACATGAAAAATCATCTCTAACTTTGCATGTCCTCTGTCACAAAAACCAGCACCTTCTTTCACCTTCTTTGCATCAACTTTGTAGAGACCCAGGTTACTTCTCAGTCCTTGTAGTAGCACTTGTCCTGTTCCCTGATTCTTGACAATTGCAGCACGTGAATTCATTAGAATTAGTGCATCATTATCATCTGATAATTTAGGAATGCTGATTAAGTTCTTCTTTGCCTTAGGAGCATAAAGAACATTGTTAAGTTTTACAGAAGTGTCAGAGACATTTTGTAGAGTAGATGAACCTATTAGTTCAACATTTAGACTCTGCCCATTAGCTACTAATAAATAAACCTTACCATCATTGTTTACTGGGTGGTCAAGCCGAGAAACATCATTAGTAACGTGAGTAGTGGCACCACTGTCTAAGTACCACGACTCATCGTTCACAGTCTCAGGAGTAGCTAGAAAAACCTCATTAAAATTAGATGAGCCAGAACCAGCCTCAAAAACGCGACGAGAACCACTAGGTGGGTTGAAGTTCTTGTCAAAGCGACGAAAACAGTCTTTTACAGTGTGACCAGGTTTGTCACAAAGCTGACACGGTGGTTTACCACCACGACCTGATCTGCCTCGGCCACCACGTGACCCTCTAGTTCCACGAAAACTTCTCCAGCCACCTCGTGAAGGTTGAGAAGTAGCAAGATGAGCAAACTGAGTAGAGATGTTGAGTTGAGTAACATGATTAAGCTGTTCCAAACGAGACTCAAATGTGAGCAGAATGGTTTGAAATTCAATCCAACTAATCTCTTCCTTAATACATGATAGTTGAACCACTATAGGGTTATATTCACCATCAAGTCCCGCAAGCACCTGAAGGAAGAAATCTGCCTGGGGAATAGGACTTCCAGCTAACACGAGACTTTCAGAGATGTTTTTCATCTTAGTTAGATATTCATCCATCCGCATGGTACCCTTCCTGGTACGTTGCAAATCTGTTCGCAGCATAAGGATACGAGCTTTGTTTTGAGCTCCCGCAACCTCACGCGCAGCATTCCAGAGACCGGCAGCAGACGATACTTGAGTCATCTGCGCAGAAACTTCAAGAGACATTGTATTGAGCAGCCTGCCGAAAACTAACTGATCTGCCGAAATCCAGTCTTCAAACTCTGGATTAATTATGGTTTCATTTTTGTCAACAATGAACTGAGGAGGGCAAGTCTCAGTGCCATTGATGAAACCTTCGAGTTTGTAACCTTTGAGAATGGGCAGGACATGAGTCTGCCATAGAAGATAGTTATTCCTGTCCAGCTTGACAAAAATATTCTGGTTAAGGGTAGGTGCTGTAGGATTCTTAGCAAGAAGGGAGGCAGAAATAAATGAACTGTTAGTGTGATTAGTGGAGTGTGGGGTAGATGGTGACTTGGAGGATTCTTCTGCCATGGCAGCTAGCCGACGTGCTCTGATACCAAGATGAGATTTACACAGAAAAGGAAATTGTGAATAGAGGCGCCCAGTCCTCAAGGTCATGTATTCCTTATATAGACAGATTATACAACCCTAATACACTAGCTGAAGCCACGTATGCAAGATGTAAAGAGTACATAATATACAAAATGTACAGATAAAGAAATGGGCTCAGCTTTGTTTAATTTCCTTTGGTTTGGGCTTTCTAGTTTTGGGCTTCTGTATTGCTTTAATACAAAATATTCTTTCATTTGAAGGATATACAACAATAAATCATCTCTTAATCTAATGGTGATGTATAAACCCATCCAGACTAACATGAAGGATTACAATTATTTTTCCTAATAACTCACCACAATGATATATGTTCCTTTTATATAGATTTAGAGATACCAACTAACTAGGTGATTAATCACTAATCATAATAATATTCCAACAGTTCTCTTCTCAATCTAAAGTAACACATGCTCTTTTCGGGTGAGATACTGAGATAAGAGTACCTTTAATGGATGATAAAGATTAATATCTTTTAAAATGCAGAGGATATTTACTAAAACATCAAAAAGAATCCATATCCTAATTAAATTTGTTTCCCACAAAATGACAGAATAAACCTTACAAACTTTTGTTTGTACAGTTAAACAATTGAGCAAAAAGACACGCACTTACATATACTTAATTAATAGTTTATGTGATAATTTACTTCCTTAATTGCCAGTTGGCAAGTGGCATCCTTAGGATTTAAGATTAAAATTGCCAATTTAATTGATTTACAATTAAGTCAAGGAGATTATTTTGACAAAAAAAAGTCAATGGATTACAACTCAGACTACCCATATAATCATTACACTGATTTTGTACTTTTCATTATCCCAACTTCTACGCCCATGCAACTTTTATATCACACTTCAAAAAATTTATATCTATTTAATTTTATGCTCAAAATTGACTTTAAGTGAAATTTTGAATTTATAAATCTTTCCATGTAATTTACATATCAACTTTATTTAATATGACACGTGCCATATCAACTCAATATCACTCTTTCTTAGACATCCCAACAATAACATGCATAAATTTATTCCAAATCTTAGATAACAATTCTCTCATGAACGGCCATTAAATTTATTTCATTGTTTTAGGAGTTTGTGTCCAGCTAATTTTTCATATCTGTATAATATTCCTTCAACTTCTCTTCCATTGACTTTTGGCAAGTTAACGAAGTAATTAAACCATATATAGGTTTCTCTCCTATATATTTCGCACAATGCAATCCCAAATTCAACTACAACAAATTCCACACTAAACACATCAATCATCTCGATCTATCATATCCAACAATGCCACGTTCGACCTCCATGAGAAGAGGTAAAGATGCTGCTCAAGAGAAGCACGACGTGTTCATCAGTTTCAGAGGAGAAGACACTCGCAAGACCTTCACAAGCCATCTCCACGCAGCTTTAACAAGGATCGGCATCAGAACCTACATAGACTACAATTTAGAGGGAGGGGATGATATATCAGCCACCCTCGTGAAGGCCATCGAGGATGCGAAGCTGTCTCTCATAGTTTTCTCAAAGAACTACCCAAATTCAAAGTGGTGTTTGGATGAGCTTGTAAAGATTCTCGAGTGTAGAAAAAAGAAAGGGCAGCTGATAGTGCCTGTTTTCTATGACGTGGATCCAAGCTCTGTACGTAAGCAGATGGGTAGTTATGTAGAAGCATTTGCAATACATGAACAGAACTTTAAGGGTAACATGGAGAAGGTCCAATCATGGAGGGAGGCTCTGACTGAAGCTTCTAGTTTTGCTGGCTGGGATTGCACCATCAACAGGTAATTTTGTTTTGTACAATATTCACAATATTTAAAGAGAAACCGAGCACTAGATTTAGAAGTATATATTTGGTAATAATTATATATGCAGGACGGAATATGAAATGGTGGAGGAAATAGCGAGGAATGTGTTGGAGAAAGCTGATGGGGTGTATGTTGGAGACTTGGATTTGCAGATAGAGAAGTTAGAGAAACTGGCAGAGCTTCAAGAAGAGTTCTCGCAAGAAATATACAGTTCGTAGAACGAAAGAAACCATAAAGCAACATTGGAACGCATCAGACGACTCAAAATGGAGGAGGAGTTCAGGAAGCTTCGCCTCACACCCGACTTGCTTTCCCACATGGAAATTTCAGAAGCCACTCAAACTTATTTCTAGAGAGTCGAGGGGCGTGTTCTACAAGTACAATTTCCTTTGTTTGCAATAATTGTGATAAGGAACAATATTGATGGCCGTGGTCTGCATAATTTCCATTGTTCTTGTCCTTTTCGTGTGCGCGCGTGTTTTGAACTTTGGATTGGCAATAAACTTAAACGGTTTAATTTGTATCGTACTTTGAACCAAATGAATTAATTATAACCTTTTTTTGTACTATTAACATTGTATAGTTATTGTTAAATGATGTTAATAGCGACATAATCAAATAACCAGCGAGGCTCAGTACAGTTGGCAGATAGCTGGTTGTCAGTGAAAAATCATGCAGTAATTGAAAAGTGGAAAATCTCCACCGTGTATGTTTATCCAATGGTTAATAAGAAATTGGTGTATAAGAAGGCTCCTCATTTGCAAACATACAGTCACATTTTATCCAAAATAAAAATTTATAAAAAATATAATATTTTTAATAAATATATTAATTCCTAATTTGGACATATAAATTTTATTTAGATGGTTCACTTTAATATTAATTTTTTTTTATAAATTGACTATTCACTCTAGATAATTCAGATTTGTTTTTGATTCATATTTAAAAATTTTAGCTTATAAATTTTTTAAAAAATATTTTTTGAAAAGTGCTAGAAATATTATCTTTATTTTTAATATTATATTTATCAAAATAAAAATTTATAAGGATTATAAAAATTTTAATATTAATTATGACCTGTTCGAATTAGTGATTAACATATTACTAAAAATATTATATTTTTTATAAATTTTTATTTTGGATAAAATTTGATTATGTGTGTGCAATGACTGAATGAAGAGCCTTTTTGTATATCTATTTCTTACCAGCTATTGGATGAAAATTCATGATGAGGATTTTTCACTCTTCAGTCACTGCACTGTTTCCATTGTACCTGATCCGTATCCGGTTCTCTTAAGCATATTGTGAGAGGTTCAATTCCTAGCCACATGAATAAAATAGACCTCTTGGAGAGAAGCAAAGCTCGCTTATGTGATTTCTACACCTCAAAAGAAATTAGTGATTCATAATATATATATATATATATATATATAGCGGCACAATCAATATAATATTCATGCAACTTGAAGTTGTAAACATAATAGGGAGAATAATGCAAACCGAATATGGAACACAAAAAATGACCAATTTTTTTTTCTAAAAAAAAAAGCCGCACATGGATGAAAATATCCTTACGCAATCGTTACATGGGCTTGATCAAACACATTGCCAAAAACCTCACAGCATTCAGTAAATGGATCCTTTTCGCTACTATACTTTCTTTCATAACTCGTAAGTTAACTTGGCTAGGAAGGGGGGGAAAACTCACTAAGTTAACCAAAAATATGGCTTAATTAGAAATATTTCCTTGATTCAACGCTCTTTCAGGCCCTAGTAGGAGTAATTAAGCCCAGGTCCCATCCAGCATCTTGTGAATTATGGGCCCTAACCATCATAAACGCACATGTTTTCCAGGAAGGTTCCACACGTAGTCCTCTCTTGCACAATGCTTATATATCCTTTATCGCTGCGGTTGTTTCTTTAGGAGATTTTGCGAGGTGATTAATCAGATGAATCCGACGGAACAGCCGCAAAATCTTCAACTACTGAATTTAATTATAATGTGTCGGAATTGAAAAACATATATAAATAAAGAGTTTGCATAAACTTCGAAGAGTCCAAAATATGAAATGAAAATCAGCCATCAGTCCAAATTATAAGTATATGGCCTATCTATTTCCCTCGCCTTGTCTTGTTATCTTTGTCAGATCTGCTTCCATGTTTTTTCCTCAGTTCTCACATTCTTCTCACAGTTCATGCTTTATGGAGAACGCTCGAGGGTTCATCAGCTCATCTGGTAAGTATTAATTAATCTTGTTCTTATGTCCTCTTTCTTCTTCCCTGCGAGATGAACCCGTCACGCATGACGTCATACTTTTCTAAGGAATATTCTGGAATCTTGTTTCCCCCGAAATTTTACTTTTCATTTTCCTGGAAATAGCCAGGAAATTATCCTTCTGCAGCCCAGCAAGCTGCCTATGAATTTTCCTCTTGGTCAACCCTCCTATCGAAACGCCCTCCAAACAAAACAATCTTGGAATATGAACTGAACCTATTGTTAATTAGCAAGACTTGCCCGCATGAAATCATCACCATCATCGGCCTCATCATCTTCATCTTCATATGATTCCCTGTACTTCTCGGCCACACCTAGCCCTAGTACCAGAGAATACACTCATGGAGAAGAAGGCGCTACCCTCATGGAACCACCATCACCTCCACCAGCACCGTCGTCATCTTCATCATCTTTTTTCCCAGCCCTCCTCCCTCGACCCTAGCTCTAGTACCAGATCAGAAAAAACTCATGACGGCGGGTTCATTATCTCCAGAGAAGAAGACATCCGGATGATGAAACCGTCGTCGTCGTCGTCGTCGTCAGCATCGGCATCATCTTGTTCATGTTCATCTTCCCAGCCTTCCTCCTCCAACCCTAGCCCTAGCATTGGAGAAAATACTCACGACGTGTTCATCAGCTTCAGAGGAGAAGACACCCGCCACGGTTTCGTCAGCCATCTCCATTCCGCTTTGAGAAGGAACGATGTCAGAACCTACATGGACTGCGATTTGGAGAGAGGGAACGAAATATCTTCCACGCTGTTAAGAGCAATAGAGCAATCCAAGATCTCACTCGTCGTCTTCTCCAAGAACTATGCCTCCTCAAGGTGGACTCTGGATGAACTGGTGAAGATAATGAAGTGCAGGAAAACATGGGGACAACTCGTGCTCCCCATTTCTACAGAATCACTCCTTCAGAGGTACGAAAGACAAGGAGTTTCTCAATGTTTTTAATAAACACAAGAACCTGTTTAAGTCAAACATGAACGAGGCAGCGCAACAGTGGACGAACGCCATGAAAGAAGCAGCCGATCTGGCGGTTGGGGAAAGCTCCACTTATAGGTACTTATCAAGTGGTTTCTCTCTCTCAAGTTTGTTTCTAGAGTTTTTATGAAGATCTGATAATCTCTAAATTCAAATAAATGGTTTGGGTCTAAATCTTGTCTGAATAGAACGGAATCGGAGCTTGTGGAGGTTATAGCTATTGAGGTGATGAGAAAACTAGAATCTATGAGGCAGGGAAGTGAAGGAGGGGCCCCAAATTTCAACCGAACCAGAAGCGGCCGGCCTTCGTGGCAGAATTGCTCACCCGACGAGCCTAATTCCGGCGGCCTACATGATGATGAGCATACGCCTCAAGATTCTTCTCCACCAAATGCCTATCACATGGGTAAGTTCATTTTCTTATTTTATTTTTTTTAGTATATCAAGACTCGACGGTTAATGATTAAATCGGTTGGGATTA